GATAAACAAAATGTGCCATGAGCATACAATGGACCATTATTCAGCCTTCCAAAAGAAGGAAATTCTGATGCATAATACAAACCAGGTGGACCTTATGCTAAGTGGAATCTGCCATTTGCAAAAAGACAAACCCAGCAGGGTTCCACTTACATAGGAATCCAGAGTAATCAAACTAACAGAGACTGAAGGTACCATGGGGGTTGCCAAGGGTTGGGGGAAAGAGGAAATGGAGTTAAATGGATAAGGAATTTCAGTTTAGGTAGATAAAAAGTTCTAGAGATCAGTTGCACAACAATGTAAACAAACCTAACACCACTAAAGTATGTACTTAAAAACCGTCGTGACTAGATCTTTTTTGTTTTTTTAACCACAATTGCAACTAAAAATCTTTAAAACATTGCCCAGACTGGTCTTGAACTCATAACCTTCCATCTGAGCCTCTCAAGTAGCTAGGACTTCAGGTGCCACCACATGTGCCCAGCTCACAATGGTAACTTGCAGAGTACTAGACAGAAACTATGTCTTCAATAGAGTGACAAAACAGCACTGATTTATCAAAATCTACATACTGTGCTCACTATGGCATTTACAATGGACCTGGACCTATTTACAGCTGAATTCCAAACCTCACAAAGTACAAGATTCATAGCATCTCTTTGCAAGTGATTCTGGTTAAAGGCACGACATTTTTTTTTTTTTTTGGTTGGTACTGGGGTTTGAACTCAGGGTCTCGTGCTTGCTAGGCAGGCACTCTACCACCTAAGCCACTCCACCAGCCATTTTTTGCACTGAATATTTTTGAGATAGGGTCTCGTGAAGTATTTGCTTGGGCTGGCCTAAAACTGTGATCTCTGCCTTCTTAGTAGCTAGGATTACAGGCGCCTGGCTAGGCACCAACTTTTAATTACAAATATGGGTCCTACCCGCTTTGTGTCCTTGGGGTTTGGCAATGACCATGGCTCACAGTAAATGCTAAAATCCATGGGCTGACCATCAGGGTGAAGGCATGTGCCCAGCTTTGGCAAAGAGGAAGGCAGCACAGAGACTTCCTGGCTACCCCAGGTGCCTTGGATGGCCAACTCCCTTCCATCTCAGACCGCCTTTCTACAAGCTTAAAATCATGTCCAGTGAGCTGTGAGGAAAGCAAGCTGTTCAGCCCCCTACATTCTCATGAGACATGTTAATATGGGTTGGTCAGGGTCCTCAGAAAGCTACCCTGTGGTGTACCTCAGAGAGGCAGACATGGGATGTTCAAGAACTTTTGCAGACATTACTCACCGGTGGCAGCTGGCAGGTGGTCACTGGTTGTGTACTCATAGTATCGTCTTGAAGAAGGAAAGCATCTTGTGGAACTGAAAGAGATTGGAAAAGGGTGTCCTGAAGGGAGCCACTGTTACCTCTTGGGTTCCCTGGGGATCCTCTCTGCTTCCAGTTTGGCAAGCAAAGAAAATTACAAGAGAGAGACATCAACAGGAGCAATTCATGGCACTTTTCATAAAACCTAGTCTCTGTTCTCACCTGTGAAATGAGGCTTACAAGATGATACACATGAAAAGAACTCTGCAAACCACAAGGATTTCTACTACTGTTTCAGATACAACAATGGGAGCTATCACAGGATGCCTGGGTTCAAGTTTGCACTGTTAACAATTATCTATTCATCCTCTGCAGGCCCAGGAACCTATTTTGTTGTCTAAAACACAGGGGAATAAAGGTTATGACTATGGATCCGTGGTATCATTAAGGGCTGCTGCGATGAGGATCACTGTGAGGCTCTGCTGTTACATACACCTACCTAGACCTACAAGTATGTGAACTGCAAAGCTCCAATAGCTCCATAGAAGTGCTGAAGAGGATACGGAAGACACAGTCCTTGTCACTGTCAGTGGGAATGTACATTAATTAGTACAGCCATTAGAGGAAAACTGTGAAACAACTACCCTATGATCTAGGATTCCCTCTTATGAGTACATATCCACAGAAAATGAAGTAAGTACTTCTCATGTTCACTGACGCACTATTCACAACAGGTCAGTTTTGGAATCAGCCTAGGGATCCATCAACAGATGAACAGATAAAGAAAATGTGGTATACATACCTGTCATTTGTGACAACATGGGTGAACAGGAGTACATTATCCTAGGAGAAATAAGCCAGGCCCAGAAAGACAAATACTTCATGGTCTTTCTTATATGTGGAATCTAAAAAGTTGAACTTAGCGGGGTATGCACCAGTCAGTGCCTGCCTAACAAGTACAAGGTCCTGAGTTCAAACCTCAGTGCAACCAAAAAAGATTTAAATAAATAAAATAAAAATTTAAAAATAAAATAGTTACAAGTCCAACTTTTAGAAGCAAAAGATAGAAAGACAGCTACCACAGGCTGGAGGAGTAGGGAACTGGGGAGATGATGGGCAAAGGGTACAAGTCTCTGTGAGAAGAGGGGTAATTTTAAGAGCAACATGACAACTATGAATAATTACAATACATTATATGCTTGAAAATTGCTGAGAGTATATTTTAGTCACAAAAAAGGATAAGTACATAAGGTAATTCATGTTAATTAACTTGATTTAATTATTTTGTGATGTACACAATAAATATATACAATATTTGTCAATTTAAAATAAAAATTGGGGGGGAGGTGACACAAACAATGTATACATATGTGAGTAAATATAAAAACAATAAAATAAAAAATAAAATCAGTCACTTCTTTCCACAAAATAAATATATAAATTAAAAAAAAAAAAAATTAGGTGCTGGGAGTATAGCTCAGTGGTGGAGCACTTGCATGAGACCCTGTGTTCAATCAATATCACACACAAAAGAAAGAAAGGGAAGGGAAAGGGAGGGGAGGAAAGGAAAGGAGGAAGGAAGGGAAGTGAAGACTATTACTACTGCTAGATGCTCCTGGAAGAGTACCGGCATACACCTAGGTGCAGAGTGTGGCTTTGGGACCATCTTACTTCCCCTTATTTTAACCTTTCAGAACCTTTGCCACATTCTAAATTCTCTTTTCTCAGACTGGAAACTATACCTTGCTCAGACCTCTGCCAGTAATGAGCCATGTAACTTGTTAAAAGTACAACCAGGGTGGGAGGTGGAGTTTAGTGACAGAGCAGCTGCTTAGTGTTTGTGTAAGGCCCTGGGTTCAACGATCCTCAGCACTACAAACAAAACAAAACTCCCATTGCACTTTTTTATAGACTAAAACTTAGAAAGCTGTAAGTCTTTCAGCTTAGGGGCGAATCCTAGCGATTAACCCCAGGTTGCACGTTTAGTCGGTACTAAAGCAAACACCAGAAGTCAGGGTCCTTGTGCTTTTAGACTTGGGATGCAAAGCCCGGGAACAGCAGGGTTAGGAATAGCTGCTGAACATGGGGCTGGGGCAGAGCTGAAGTAGATCACATTGACTCTGCGGGTCCCAGTGGAAGGCAGTTGCTTCACTCTGCTGCCTGAAGGGAACATCAGGCTAGGTGGGCAAGAATTTGGGGAGATATTTCTTTGTGTTCAATTTCCTTTGTATTTACTTTTATCACCCAGGATAACTGACAAATAAAAATTGTGTATTTTGCAGCAGGTTATACATCAGTGGTAGAATGATTGCTTAGTATATACGAGGCCCTGGGTACAATTCCCAGAACCACAAGAAAAAAAAAGGATATTGAACTCAGGGGCTCACGCTTGCTAAGCAGGCTCTCTTTGAGTCACTCCACCAGCCCCGTTTTGTGTTGCGTATTTTCAAGATAGGTCTAGAGAACTATTTGCCCAGGGTTGGCTTCAAACCATGATCCTCTTGATCTCTGCCTCCAGAGTAGCTAAGATTACAGGCATGAGCCCCTGGTGCCGGCTAGAAAACAAGAACATATTTGTGTACAAAAGTTGTGCACAAAGTGATAAGTATGCATTATGAAATGATTAAATCAGCTAATATATTTATAACCTCACATATTTATCTTTTGTGTGTGTGTGTGTGAGAGATGAAACCATTTCAAATCTATTCACTCGACAATTTTAAGACATAGAACATCTTATTTCTACCTGTGGTCATTATGCTGTACCACAAGCGCTCCAACCCATCACAAAAAGGGGCTGGTGAAGTGACTCAAGGTATAGGTCCTGAGTTCAAACCCCAGTTTCGCCAAAAAAAGGGAGAAGAATTATTCAAGGTTGACTTTTCCTTCATGTCAGACTTTTGGCCCCATAACTGAGAAAATAAACTTCTGTTGGGTAAAACATCCAGTCCGTGATAATTGGTATGGTGGCCCCAGCACACTAACACAACTATCTAGACTTTTAACCAAGGAGAGATTATCTGAAGAATTATATGATTTGCACAGAAGTCAGTACAGTTTCACATACAGGGAAATTTAATACTTTTTTTTAAACTGAAAAATTTATTATTGCCAAGCATGGCTACATAGGCCTGTAATCCCAGCATTTGAGGCTGATGCAGAAGGATCATAAGTTTAAGTCCAGCCTGGGCTACACTGCAAGTCCCTGTCTCAAAAAATAACAACAAAACCTAAAAAGCTAAACAAACAAAAAACTAAAAAACTTTTCCCCCAGTGCTGGAGATGGAACCCAGGGTCTCTTCCATGCTAGCCCAGTGCTCTGCCACTAAGCCACCCCTCTGGCCCACTGAAAAGCTTATTATTGCAAATCCTAAGAATGCACTCCTGGTCTTCCGGACTCTTTACATTATATGTAACTATGGGGCAATGTAGCAAATCTAGCCAGACAAATGCACATACCATAGTCACCCTCAAACTAAAGATGTCACAACTTTCCATGATCTTTACTCAGTTCAACAAACTATAGCTGAATTTGGAAAAAACAAACAACTCCCCCCAAACAAAACTGCATCTGCACTGGACATGTACAGATTTTTGTCATTACTCTCTAACTGATATAGTATAACAACTATTTATATCGCATTTACATTATACTAAGCATTATAAATAACCTAGAAATGATTGGGAAGATATGCAGAAGTTATATGCAAACAGTATGTCATAAGGAACATAAGGAACATAAGTGTAACCTGGGTTTTGGAATGGTGGGCTTCTGGAACCAATCCCCCCAGACACCACAAGAACAACCAATTCCTGTTTGAAAGGTATGGACAACTCAGGCCTCATGATCAACATCTGACAAGTTGTTCCTCATTCAGTCCTCAAAAAAGCCAAAAAGGATGACCACTATCTGCACTGGATAGGAAGAAACTGAGGTAATGGCGAGTTTAGTAGCATACCCTGAGTCATCCCCACAAGATTCAGAATCAAGCTTATCTGGGGACAAATCTACCTGCCCATAGCCATAGTGCACTTTGTTCAGATACTCAAGCTCTGTTTCAGGGTGTCCAGGCCCCACTGTACTCTCAAGTGAAGTTTAAGATTTCTTTGCAGTATCATCATAACCCTGAGAACAGGAGTTGCCTGGCCAAGGAAATGTGGTTCCGAGGGGTCAGAAGACATGGCAATGCTCAGTCAGGCCAGAAGCTCTGGTTGTATAGTGATAGCCTCCAGTTGTCTCCACCAACAGCCCACAGAGACACACCATGCAAGAGATGAGGTGCACAACATCACAGACATCCATCTATAGAAGAGCTCCCTCTGGGAGGACCCAGCGCCATGAAGAGGACAACCATCAGTTGTTCACAGTTCCTTAGGGGACAGGAGAAAATGGCTAACATAAAGAGCCATAGCCTTAACAAACACCACAGACCATGCCCCAAGTCATCCCTCATATTTTATGGGCCACATACCCTGGTCCTCGCTGAGCTGGCCTGGTGGTCTGCTTAAAAGCCCCAGGCCCTGTGTCAAGGCTGTGGGCTGTGTGTCTTGGCTCTTTGCAAGGTCACTCTGCGGTTCCACTGGCAGCCGCTCCTGCTCTTGGTCTGGAGGACCATCTCCATCCTCAATCACCACAGGGTCTTCACAGTGCTTGAGCTGCAATCCCAGAGAGAGGGGTGTTCAAGGCTAGGTGGAGAGGACCCTGGTCAGGGTCCAGACAGTGGGCTCTGCAAGGACCTGAGTAGACCTTTTCCCTGCCCCAGGCTGCTGACTGTTGACTCCACAACTGACCACTAAACATTTAACTTGGGCCTTGGACAAGGCTGTCAGAGGGACGGCACAATTGTGCCCAAATTCGACCCTTTAGGGAATGAAACTTGCTTTTCTAGGAAACCAAACCAAAGTCTATCTGGGGCTAACATGACTCTAGGCAGAATTACTCATCCCTGTCCAGGGGATGCCTGACCCCACCACAGCACCAGAGTACAGGGCTGTCCAGTGGAGTTCTCCCTCCCCCAGCCTGCTCCCTGCTCACCCACTGCCAGGGTCTCCCTGGCTCCCGTTCCAGTGCCTCCACCGCGGCCACAGCCTGCTCGCCGCTCTCAGGCTCCTGGGCACGCACCCAGCTCTGGATTTCCCACGGCAGGATGGCCAGGAACTGCTCCAGCACCAGCAGCTCCAGGATCTGCTCCTTGGTGTGCCTCTCCAGCCGCAGCCAGCCCCGGCACAGGTCCCAGAGGCGGTGTAGAGCCTCCCTGGGGCCTGCAGCCTCCTGGTAGCGGAAACGGCGGAAGAGGCGTCGGGAGGACTCGGGGTTGGGAAGCTCCCCCGGGGGGCTAGGGTTCTCTCCAGGAGGGCTCCGCATTTTCCTGGGCTCCTCGCTTTCCTTCGGAGCCAAGACTCTCGGGCACAGGGCTGTGGGCATGATGGGATTTGATGGGGGGTCAGCGGCAGAAGACGACCCTATTTCCAAACAGAAATGGCTGGCTTCAATATTCTGATCTCCTGCGGTTGTTTCTGAGGGGTGGAGGCAGAGCCCACAGAGACCAGCCCTTCGGAGAAGCCCTGGGAAATGTAAGGAGTGTCGATGTGACTTGTCCTTACATGTGGGAACAGAAGAAAGATACCCTCCTCCCATCAGTACCATTATGTGTGGATTTCCCTACCAGGAGATGGTGAACAAGGCAGGAAATCTGGGAGAAAAGGGGCAGCATTTTAACAGGACACTGGTGTTTTTGGCACCTAGGAGCACATCGGGGCAACATGCAGATAAGGGATGTAATCAAGGATCTCAGGTACCTGTTGTGTTCAGATCCTCCTGGAGAGGACACAAGATAGATGGATATCCCAAGCAGGCCACTATCTTGATGCTTTGGAGCTGATGTTACCTCCTTGTTCTTGAGACCTCTACAGAACAAGCTGGAAAAAAAAAAAGACAGACATCCATGGGAAGACCTATCAAAACACATCCAGGAGTGGAAAATCCGTTGTCTTGGATTTTCTCCAAGAGAACTGTTTCTTTTGGAGGGCTGACCACCAGTGCTACATACTGCACAGACAAGAAGTAGAATCTGCACTAGGAGGCTGGGGGTGAAGCACAGGTGAGAAGACTCCCAGAGATGGAGAATGTCACAACAGACAGCTACACAGTTTACCAGAGAGAAATAAAACTATTTAAAAACATCAGCACTAGGGCCATGGCTCAGCAGTAGAGCACCTGCCCAGCACATGCAAGACCCTGGATTCCACCCGCAGCACTTCCAAAAAAAAAAAAAAAAACCAGCACTTTCAGACAAACCTTCTGCCCAGCTAAGTGAAACTTCTGAACAATAATCTTTATCATATATTTGAAGATGACTTGACCTTCAAACTTGTCTCCATCCTCTTCTTGATCCTTATTCTCTTCAAACTATGTTCAAGGCAATGGTACACATCTACTTCATAGCCTTTCCATGGGAAGGACAGAAAAGGAGAACACTCATAGCATAATTCTAGCCCTTGAGACATATGCATGGATGTTCCTACACCTTCTATGCAGTTATGCAGACAATCCAGCCAACACACACAGGACACACACAGCAGAGACCAGTGGCTACTATACCTGATCTACAGCTTAGGACACAGGGAAAGTGAAAGGGCAACTGGAGACACTCCCCTACACCCCTCAAGTCTTTGGGATTCACAGGCATCATGGCCACTTTCCCTTCACACTCCCACCATGGAGCATCTTAACATCTGGAGGGTCACAGGATGGCACAGGCCTCACTTTTACTTTTTTTTTCCTTAAGTTTTTATTAGTATATGATAGTTATACAAAGGGATTCATTGTGACATTTCCACATCTACCTATATTATACTCTGGTTTAGTTTAACTCCTCCATTATTCTCCCTCTTTCCTCTCTCCCCTTCTTAAAATGACTTTGACAGGTTTCAGTGTTCCATATTCATACGTGTACAGAAAGTACCTCAACCATATTCACCATCCTTTACCTCCCTCATTTACCCTCATTTCCATTTTACAGAAAGACAAATGGTGCCCAAAAAAACCACTAAGTAATTGAGCTGCATCAGCTGGACTTCTTGGCTTTACAAAGTAAAGACATGTACTGACATGTATAAGAGACTCCGAGGGTAGAGCTAGCTGGGACCATGACTGATCTCCCACCAATGGATTCCATTCCACCATTGCTCCTGCATCAGGAACCTACTCTGAGCCCCACTTCTCTCCTCACCTGCCCCCTAGGTCACCTATGTCCCACCTGCTGGGTCCTTGATTACTCAGGTCTGCCTCCATGCTGGGTGCCCTGCGCCCCACCTTTAGCACCCAGTTCCTACTGGGGGGTTGCCCTCTGGGACATCTCTGCCCAGAGAGCCCATTTCCTCTTTGTCACCCTGGCACCTGGCGCGTAGGAGGCTCAGGAGGGAAGCCTGATGAATGAACTAACGCTAGTTATCAGGGGAGGGTTCTCACAGGGGCGGGGCTTGCTTAAAGCAGTTACAGAAGGAGCGAAGGAGCACGATCAGCAGAAAGAAAAAAGAAGGGCATGTTAGGCCAGGAAAAAGGGGGGTTTCTCTCTCTTACAGGATAATCAGTTCCAGACTTCTCACCTCGCAGCTTACAACTCCAGGACAACAGCTCCTCATCCTTCCAGCCCTGTCTCCTAGGTGTCCTTGCCAAGGCAGGTCCTCAGCATGGGCCAGACTCGGTCCCTGGCTGGTCCAAACCGCGTCCCAGATTATCCAGAAAGCCCCGACTCGGCTTGGGAGCAAATGGAGACGCCTGAAAGACAACCACACGGCTTCATCCCCGCCCGCACTGTCGCGGACACCCGGCTCTGCGCGGAGATGCGGCGCGGACGGAGGCGGGAGACAGACCCGGGCGCGCGGGCCGCTGAACCGGGCCACACTCACCGCCACAGTGCGTCCCGGTTGGCGGGCCGCGCAGGCCGGGCCGCCGCCGAAAGGAAAGGCCGGAGCCCTCCGGCTCCCTCCCCTGGGACACTTCCTGCTCCGCTCTAGGACCGAGGAGGTCTCCGCATCTCAATGGTTCGCTTCCCCGCCCCCCGGCCGAGGTGTGCGCGGGGGGTGACATCCGACACCCCCGGCCCGGCGCGGCCCGCGCGCCCCGCCCCGCTCAGCTCCGCGCGCGCCCAGGCCTGGGCGCCTGGGCCGGGGCTTTGTGGGCCTCCCCCGGGCTGGCTTGTGGTGCGCGCGCCGCTGCTTGCGAGGGGCAGGGGCGACGCGGCAGTGACCGGGGACTTGGGCACAGGAAGGTTTGCCCGGTGCGAACCGCGGTGCGCGGGCGCAGCTTGGGGAAGGCCAGCCTGGGGCTCTTCTCGTTCGGGTTCTCCCTGAGGGTGTGTAGACGTCAGGAAGGGCAGATCTGGCAGCGTTGGCCAAATGCCAGTATTGGGAGGGGGCGTGAGGAGTTCGGTCTGCTTGTCGCCGGATTTATGAACCCCACTGTGATCACCCCCATCCAGTCTATGCCGGTCAGGCCCAACCCCTTTCTAGTCAAAATCCCACATCAAAGCCCTAGGTGTGGAGGGCCGGAGAAAGGCAGATTTGCTTTCCACTTGGTCCACTGGGCACTCCAAGGTATCAGCCTGCGCCTTCTATTATTGGAGCTGATTTGTAGTTTCACGGTTTAAGAAAGGCTGTGCATCCTGTGGCCCTTCTGAGCGTCCTGGTGAGTGCGCAGAGGGACAACTATGAATCCCCGCCCCGAGTGGGTTAAGTGAAAGTTACTGATGTTCCCACTGCAGAGAGAGGAGGATCCGATGTTGACCTCAGGTGTGGAACAGTAGGGAGCAAGTAGGATTTAGGGCCTCCAGAGCACCCCACAGGGCTACTTGCTACCACCCTATGCTGAACATAGCCTCAATTCTCAGATGAGTCTTTCCCGAGTCATTCTTAATTGTTCAGGACCCAGAGTTTGGGAGAAAGTGTGTCCCCAGTGTCTAAGCAGTTCTCATTCCCACACTCCTTCATCTGCCCTGGCAATGGAGATTGATAGTTCCAGGGAAAAGAAGGGAGAGAGAATTCTGCCTAGAGAGTAAAATGTGCTTTGCTCTCACATTTTCTTCAGATCCCGTTTCAGGGGCACCTGTAAGGAAACCAATTTCCCCAAAGTGGCAATGTAAGAGAGGGAAAATGTGGTTGTATCGAGGCACCCATCTATCAGCTACCTGCTGTGGACATTCTGTGGGTGGGGCACCTCCATTTCCTCCCAATTGTTGAAAGATCACTTTTTTTTTTTTTTTGGCGGTACTGGGGTTTGAACTGGGCCTACACCTTGAGCCACTCCACCAGCCCTTTTTTGCGATGTTTTTTTTTTTTTTTAAATAGGGTCTTGAGAACTATTTGCCTTGGCTGACTTCAAACTGTGATCCTTCTTGATCTCACTAGGTGCCTGACTGGAACAATCACTTTTGACTACTACTTACTAGTCCAATGCCAGATTCTGTGACTTGACAGAAGATGAATGGAGGAAAGGAGTGAACAGTGATTGCTCCCTAGGTAACAGCCAGACACAGGCAAGGGTCACCTGAAGATCTTACCTGGAGCCTACAGACACCAGCAAGAGCCAACCTCTTTGACTTATCTGGACTCAGCATTCACTAGATATATGCTCCCTTCTCAGTAGCACCACCAGCCAGGAACAATGTCCTGGAGAAGAGGCATGGAGGAACCAAGGATCAGCACAAGGAAGTCGGGCTCAGGTGCTTTGGGAAACAGTCCAACCTGTGCTGATTTTCTTCAGTCTGGAGCTCCCAGCCTGTGACTGGCCCAGGAACCAGCTGTTGAGCGTTTGGGAATCCTGCTGATAGTTATGCCCTGTGGAACACAACTGCTTTAGCAGATAAAATGCAGGGTCCAGAGACTGCTGGCACACAGCATATGGTTAAGCCTCACATCCACTCCAGTTTCCTCCCTTGATCTAATATCTCCCCACACAAAGGTCCCTCTCACCATTAATCCTCTATAACTGAGAATATGCCCTGCATTTAGCTTAGATCTGGGGTTAAGAGTCTGGGTTTCAGAATCAGAACACCTGGGTTAAATCCTGCATTATCAAGACCTAGCCAGGGGGCTGGTGAAGTGGCTCAAACAGTAAGAGTGCCTGCCAAGCAAGCATAAGGCCTTGAGTTCAAACCTCTATGCTGCCAAAACTACCTCTTGCTGGGCACAGATGGCTCAGGCCTGTAATTCAAGCCACTCAGGAGGCAGAAGTCAGGAAGATCATGGTTTGAAGGCAGCCCCAGGCAAATAGTTCCAGAGACCTTATCTTGAAAAAAAACCCATCACAAATAAGGGCTAGCAGAGCAGCTTGAGTTCTAGAGCACCTACCTAACAAGCATGAGGCTCTGAGTTCAAACCCCTATGGCACCAAAAAGAGAAAGAAAAAAGACCTAGCCAGGTGATCTTAGGCCTACATAACCTATGCTTTTGTTTTCTCTCAGGTGACAGGGATGATGCTGTCATTTTGTGGTTCTGTGAGACCACTTGGTCACTGAGCAAATGTGTACAAAGCATCTACTAATCGTGTGGTGCTAGGCACTAGTAACCCCAGTACTGCCAAAACCAAAACAAAATAAAGAGGAAGGCAGAACCGATATCACTGTGAAATGAGGAGGTAATTACATGCAGAGCTAGATGGCAGCGTTGGAGGCTATGGGAAGGAAGGTGTTTTGCCAATGAGCATTCCATCCTGTGTTACCAGGAGTTTTGTTTGATTTTCTTTTTCTTTCTTTCCTCTTTTTTTTTTTTTTTTTTTGTGGTACTGGGGTTTTGAACTTAGGGCCTATACCTTGAGCCACGCTTAATGGTAGCTCTTCTTGGTGATTTTTTTTTTTTTTCCTAGATAGGGTCTTGCAAACTATTTGCCTGGGCTAGCTTCAAACTAAGATCCTCCTGATCTCTGCCTCCTGAGTATGTAGCGTTATAGGTGTGAGCCACCAGTGCCTGGCACTGTGTAACTGGGTTTTGCCTCCAAACTGGGTGCTTTTTCCCTTTCAGAATTGTGGAACCGATAACAACTGAGCAGTGAAGGAGACTAACATTCTTGGCCAAGAATAGAAGTTGGAGATGACTCAAATCAGCCTCCCAATCCATTGGGGTTTCAGAGGTAACAGAACTAGTTTGAAATGCATGGGAAGAGGAAGAAAATTCATGGCAATGGGCAGAGAATTTCTGGGAATTCAGGCACCATCTGTTTTTCTCTTTTTATGATTCTTTCCTGTCATTATCATGACAATTGTCAACTGTCATAGTGCTGGAGGTGTGTCATTTAGCATGCACATGGGATTGTAATGAAGTTAGAGGTTGTCTTGTGGTTACTTTGGCAGCCATCTTAGATCATTCAGTTCCAGCCAGCCCACCTGAAGAGGATCTTCTGGTTTACAGGCATCCTGTCCTCAAAGATAAGCAAGTGAGAGTAGGGTAGAAATTCAGGTGGGTCACCTAGGCAGTACTCAGTAATTCTTGGGGAAACTATGGTAGATAGAAGAAAACCCCACTTTCAGAAAGCTGGAAGGGGAATCAGATAATGAATGGCAGCAGTATAATGCCATTTGTGATAGATGTCATGAAGAAAATAAAACACGACAAGGAGAGGCATGCAGGGACATCCAGGTAGGGCCTCTGTATGTAATATCCATGCCAGAAAGTAGGTAGTAAGGGGCACCTGAGCAGAAGTGTGAAGGAAGAACCCCTCAGCAGGGGGAAAGAGTGTGCAAAGGCCATGAAGCAGGCTCTTTCACTCAGCTTGGCTGAAGATCCTTGAGAGAATAGCAAGGCTGGAACCCAGTGACAGTTCTTTTTCATTAATATATTATCTGTACACCTAATGAGATTCAGTGTGATATTTCTATCCAGGCATGTAGCATGCATTGATCATATCCAACCACCCTTCTTCTACACTCCACCTCCCATCCCTAGTCATCACTATTCTAATTTTAGGTTGACTTTTTTTTTTAACCTTCTATATATGAGAAACAATATGCCGTACTTGTCTTTCTGTGTCTGGCTTATTTTACTTAACCCTCCAGTTCCATCCATTTTGCTGTCAGTATTTTGTTCTTCTTTATGGCTGAACAATATTCCATTGTCTACATATACCACATTTTCTTCATGGGCACCTAGGCTGATTCCCGTATCTTAGCTATTATGAAAATGCTACACTAAACATGGGCATGTAGGTATGTCTTTGGTATGCTGATTTTGTTCCCTTTGGATACATGCCCAGGAGTGGAAAGCAGTTCTACTTTTAGTTTTTTTGAGGAATCTCTATTCTGTTCTCCATAATGACTGTTCTGATTTACATTCCCACCATTGGTCTTTTTTTTTTTTTTTTTTTTTTTTGCAGTACTGGAGTTTGAAGTGAAGGTCTCATGCTTGCTAGGCAGGCACTCTACAGCTTAAGCCATGCCCCCAGCCCTTTTTTGCTTCAGTTATTTTTCAGATAAGGGCTCAAGCTTTTTGCCCTGGGCTGTCCTGCATGGATGGATGGATGCCTCTTGCTTAATTGGGGTTACAGACATATACCACCATGCCTGGGTTGTTTTTTTGTTTGTTTTCACATTTAAAAAATTTATTAGCATATAATAGTTGAACAGAGGGTTTCATTGTGACACTTCCATATATACTCACAAGGTACCTTGATCAGGTTCATTCCTACCATCATTCTCCCTCATCTGGCTTGTTTTTGAGAAGGGGTCTTACTAACTTTTTCCCAGGCTGGCCCTGAACTGCGATCTTCCTATCTCCACTTCTGTGTTGGGAGTACTGTCATGGTCCAGTAATTCTGGATTTTATAATTTTTTTGTTTGAGCATTTTGCTATACTTGATGTCCATTTGTATTTCTTTTGAGAAGTATCTACTCAGATCATTTGCATAGTAGAAGCTTAATG